CCATAGAAGTATTATCGCAAAGCCACTGCGGCCAGGAACTATAATTACTGTCCCCCGTGGCTGAAAATCTAACAACTTTTGGAAGCCGTGGCAGATAGTATAAAACAGTCCAACAGAGAAACTTATGTGTTCACATGATTTATCAAGGCCACCTCCCAGAACACACTATGATTTTTTTCTGAGCAGTTTGCAGATTTTTTTGCCAGCAACCCATACGATCGGTGACTTCTGAAAATTTAGACCTCTATTTTTACAGCACATACAAGTACCAGTGCATTAACCTGCTGAAGGCAGTAGATATAAAGCTACTGGTGAAGAGCAAAAAGCAAGATCAAGCTTTGCAAAGAAAATTAAAAATATACTCTCTGTTGGCTGCCTCGAATTATTCAGAAGAAAAATCAATTGTGAGAGTAATAAAAATAAACAGTAGGATTGCTATCTTTGAAAGGCCTTGGGACATACACAGATAGATAAAAATCACTGAAGCACAGTCTAGGATCTTAGAAATGCCAAAAATGCATTTGAAACCGGATCAGCTGCAAACATCCTGCCTTGCTTCTGGTGTGGCAGCACACCCAAAGGCAAACAGAAGGAAGTTTCGTGGGGAGCTGCTGCGCAAGGATTTGGCTGATTTGGGTCAGTCCCATAGTTCTGCCACACATCTTCCATAACCTTGGGCAAGCATCTTAATTGCTCCGTGCCTCAATCTCCTGCAGTAAAACAGTGTCAACAAGAAGAGCAACAAGGATTCTGAAGTAATTTCATCCACATTTCACCCATAATCGAGCCTACAATTTCTGATGGAGGTAGCATATGACTTTTAAATGGCCACACAGTCTTGGCCCTCTCTTGCCCTTTATGTGAAATCTCTCCCTTTGCAGCATCTTTGCCGAATACCTTGTGCAGTGGACACTGAGACAGAGCTGTAGGACAGATAATAATACATTTCACAGCAGCAATAAAACAACGGGAGCCATAATTTCTTTGAACTCTGGGTCAACCTTGTTGTTAGCCGAGTCTGTAAGAACTCGTATAGTAAATTACATACGTCTCTTTACCAGCAGGATCATAAAATAGAACTTTACAATCCTTCCAAAGGTCACGGCTCTGCAACAAACAGTAAGATAAAACAATAAATTCACCCCCAAGACCACCATTTTTGTGGCTTCGGCAGCTTTGGTTAGATCTGAGGAAATTAGAACTTTGACAATCTTTATATAAAGTCTTTCTTACATCTCCTTTGGACCCATCTCCTAGTTCTCCCTAAGCATAAGGCAGAGGGTAAAACAACAGTAATAGTGGCTGTTACTGGTTTCAGCAGCAGCAAAGCCACATTTATCTCTATACACACATTTAATGGAAACAATGAGCAAAGTGTTTCTTGGCAAATTAGTCCCCTTCTCCCCCCAAAGAAAAACACATCTATAAGCGATTTCCAAAACAATCAATATTAGTCCAGCAAGCAAAACTGTACGTTACATTTCCCATCAAAGTCTTGGCATTCCCTCAGACAAGTGATGCTTTATAAATTACGACTACTACCAAACAAACTGGAGAGAGGATTGCTGAGCTGGGCACATTGCTGCTTTTCCCTCAGGTCTGGGTGCCTGAATGCAGGTAATTCAGCTCAAATCCCTGCACTGGTCTGCTGCCTTTTAAACACTTGGTCCAGCGATGTATCTTTTCGTCTATGCTTGTATAGAAGGTAGTACAACAGTCCAAGATCTAGACACTGCCACAGCATCACAACATAAATCATAAGGGAGAGAACAGCAATCTCTACTACTAGCTTCTGAGCATGCATTTGCTCTCCTGTGGATTTAAAAACGAGAAGACTGAGACGTGGCCTTAGTTCCGCAGGTATTATTATTTTTTAATTAAAATGGAGTACTTTGGGATACTTTGATCCCGCACATAAAAATCTTAAGTGAAGGGATTATCTGATATTCTTGAAGTGAAAACAAAGGTTTTCCTCTCAACACTCTTCTGAGAGGCTGGCATTTGGTTATGCAAAGTTTATGGCATTGCTCTTTCATTCCCAGCGGTGTTGCTCTCCCATCACTCTGTCCTAATGTTGCTAAGCCACAGATGCAGTGATCAATGACCCTGATTCTACCTTCTGAAGCTCAAAGAGAAGACAGACCTGAAAAGAGGCAGCACTGGCTGCTGAGGAATTGAAACTTCAAGAAAGACTTACCGAAAGGATGCTAGCAGAGACTGAGCTGGCCACCTGGGCTTGAGAGCTGACTGCTTACCACAGTGAAGACACTCCCACGTAAGCTACCGCACCCCATGTTCAGGCTAAGAGATGATTCCTGTGTGCAAAGAATAGAGTTTTTTATTTGAAGAACTGTCACAGGTTTTATCTGGCTTCAGCCATTGCCAGAGTAAGCAGAGACTAGCAAGGAAAACGGCTTAAATCGAAGAAATTCTCGGTGCGTTTCCCTGCCTACATGTCCAAGAGGAATGACCTCCCTGTCCTCCAGATTAACTTCCGTTTCGTTCTGGGAGAGGAGATTCGAAGGAAATACATGACATTCCACATGGAAATCCCAAGGAAAACATGTCGCATTCCTTGGCAATACCAGCCCATGTTATATATACACAACACAAGGCGAACAATGCCAGCCTGGAGGGGGAGAGCAGCTCCCACCCTTGCTGGGTACCCGTAAATCCACCTTCCCACAAGAACGCCACTCTCAGTATTAACCCTAAGTAGTATCATCATGCACACGGGCCTCAGCCTCTACCTTCTCCTCTCTCCCACCGCTAGGGTAAACAGCACACGTTGAAGACTGTTTCCAAGACTGGACAACCCTTTCTTCTCCTTTCTGAGCCTGATTGTTCATCTGGTTAGTTCTGTTGGGAACAACCCTGCTCTCCTCCTGCTTCTTCTGCCAGATTGTTGAGGGTAGCTTTTCGGATAAGCTTTTAGACCAAATGGCAATGGCCTCTTGGCTCAATCCTGCCCACTGGATCTCCAACTCACAGAGTACCTTTAAATGAAACAGAAATAGATGTAGAAGACTGAGGAGACTCCTCTTCTTGGACACCTAGCTGGAAACACATGAAGAACCACTAATGGTACATCCTTATTACCTCCTTCTTACCATAAACCTTCATATACCTGCCTATCTACAAATCAAAGGTTCAACCTTTCCCTTCTGTCCTGCAACAACCTCTTACCAAGGCAAAGAATGAAGGGTGGATCACACCAGTTCTTGGTTCTTGCAAGCTGTCACCTCATACAAGGCCCTAAAAGCCACTCTGCAAGCCTGTTCAAAACAGTCCTGCTCTCCTTCCCCGTAACGTGTGACTCATGCCACATCATTCTACCACTTTTTGGCACTTTCCATTGTCGTCTTCTCTACACCTTGTTTTTCACCTGTCGCTGTTCAGACCCACCCTGCCCATCAGATCTGGCACCTCACAGCACAATCAACCACCTCCCGCTGACAACAGCCCGCTGATGCCAAAACCAACACAGCCAGCCCAGAGCTGCTGCAGGGATGAGAGCAGAGTGGACAGGAGATGGTTTTGCCATCCACCCAGTCAGTTTTCAGCAGATGGGCTTCCAGTTCAAGCACTTTCATCTACAGCGACTGCGACAGAACCAGTGACTAAGGATCTCAATAAGGACACCTGCTCATCGCAAGTTATTTAGGAACATGGTATAGATGGGGCTGTTTGGCAGCTGTTCTTTTTCCACATCTTTGTGCTGAGAGAAGTAATTCCAAAACATAAAGGCCAGCAATAACATTTAAGACAACACATTAAAAGGAGAGATGGTCCAAATGCAGGAAGATACTCGGGTGTCTGATGTAGGAACTTCTCAGTGGTGTCAAAGGCACGGCAGGTGCTCGAACCGATTCGTGGAACCAGACTTACCAACTCAAGGCTGGACTGGGAAATGCAAACCAGCAAACGCACAGTTAACACCTGCTTAATCAAGCAGACAAAAGAGATATAAAAAAAATAAAAATCTCGATACACAGGGGATGTCTCAGGGCACGCAACAAACCCCCCAAAGTAATGACCTTGTGATGATGTTGTTTGCATGATCATTGCACATAAAAGCCCCAGCCGTGGACCAAACTGAAAACAAGGCAGGTGCCACATGACATAAATATGTATTTTTAGATACTGCAGGTGCAGTATTATACAGCCCTACCAGAGAGAACTGTGACTGCAATATTACCAGTGCAATGCTAGTTGATAACTATTTTTCAATCTCTTTCATCTACTTGGAAAAGAAGTCTTCAGGGCTGTTCTGCAGTCACTTCATGTTGTATGTGCCAATTTACATGGGGTTCATTAGCAATAAGGTTATTACTTTGCTTTTTCCTCTTTATATATGTTGTTTACACCGCAGCCGTCTTGGGCTCCAGAGTAGTAAGCACTATGCAAATGACCATTTGCTGGATTGTGATAATTTGGAAGGGAAGAAGGATGCTGGAAAACCTCAGTTCAGTCTCAAATAAACCAGTGGTTTCCAATTGCCTTAGGCAAGTCACTTGATCTTCCTATAATCCTGCTTTCAAAACAGAAATGAGTATTTCTTTACCTGGCAGAGAAGCTGAGAGCATAAACCCATTAAAGACTGCAAGCAGTTCAGATCCTATAGTGATAAGCAATTACTTAATACATATGCAGTGCTTGGGAGCATAGGTTTGTTGTTTCAAAATATGGACAAAACTGCTTGGTCTGATGAGCACATGAGAGATTTTCTCACTAATAACAACCAAAAAACCACCAATAAACCCAATAGACTGCGAGCTGATTCTGGAGAGATGAATGAACTCTCATCTAAGTGAACATTTCTTCCTGCTATGAACATGTGCTCTCTTGGAGACAGAAACCAGATATCTCCCACAGAAGTTGTGCAACTAATTTGGGCATACAGAAAAGGAAACATCTACCAAAGACACTGAAGGAAACCCTGTGATGCTGAGTGCTACAGTTTTATAACAGAAGAAGAAACCAAACAGAGTTACAAAACAACCCAGTGCACATCTTTATTGATGATTCACAAAATCAAACATCATTCACCTAATTCACTCCAGCAGCTCCAGTATGACATTTTTCCTTGGCTGATTTTTCCAAGGTAAACAAGGTTTAATCTGAGGTGGGGAGAATCATGCTTTACAGTTGCTATTTTGTAAGAGCAAATGCATCACAGCCATGACAATACTTCGCAATTTTATAACACTCAATCTTCAAAGCACTGCTCAGGCATTTAATTAAAGCTTATTAAAGCCTCACAGCAGTCCTGGCTCCCAGTCCATTTTAGGTCACACCTCCTTATTAATATTTCACATAAAACCCCCACTACCTCCCACCAATGCTTATTCAGTACTTCTAAGGCTTGCACTAGTTTCACAAGAATCTTAACCCTTCAGTTATGTGGGATTTATTAATACTGCTGAAGTGCACTGAAGGCATGAACTCCTATCAAATTAACTGCCAGCATGCTTCCATAATCTTACCAGAACATATATTTTTTTCGATAAACCGGTATTAAATTTACCAAAAGTTTCACTTTTCATATAAAAATTATCTCAATCTGCCACTAAGACACATTTAGTCATATCCTAGCATGTTACGTACATACAGTCACACTCGCAGCTTTCTCCATATTGAGTCAGCTGCTGAGCTACAGCAGACAGGAGTGAGAAAACCTGGGGAAAGGAATAACATCTTTGATATTGTCAACTCCCAAGATGTACTGCAGGTAGCGTTCAAACCCCATTCCGAAGCCTCCATGAGGAACTGAGCCGAATTTTCGGAGGTCTAGATACCTGTAATTTAAACAGACAGTTACATTTGCAGCACGGTTATGCTGATGTAATTACAGAGAGCTTTTTGTCTAGGGTTTTGGTTTCCATCTTAATTACTTCCCTTTGACCCTAACCACTGTGGATTTCTGCCAACACAGCCGGTGTTGGTCAGGGGTGTGAAGAGGTGCAGCTCCCTGACAGACAATCGTATTAGCAGAAACCCCAAGTGCAAAGGCATTTAAACCAGCGTAGCTATGCCTTGCCAATACGCTAGACCCTGTTTTGTTTAGGAGTAAGAACTCATTTGGGTACAAAGAACAGCTTGAACATCACAGCTCTGCTCATATTGAGAGCATCTCTGTAAATTCTAGTATCTAAAATTTTCCTAGCAGAGGCACAAACCCAGGTTCCTACAGAATCACAAACATTTCTGCTGTCAGAGACAGAGCTGCCCGCTTGGGTTTGTTTAGCCCTTGCCATACTGGTGCCGAAATCTGCCCTAGAATAAACCCTTTCATTTTCTGTCTTGTTTTCAATAGTCTAAGTCATGTTATTTCCAGTAATTTCTTCAGAAGCCTCAACAGGTCTTGCTGTCTGATGAATATTCCTTCACTTTTTTTTTTTCTTTTAAGTTAATTACAATGGCTTTTTGTTACTTTTTCTCCAATCACTTTTACAGACCAATCCATTTATTTCCACAGTAACTCAGCAAAAAATCTTGGACATATCTTCTCCAAAAATGACATCTGGAACAAGATGTTTCATTTTGGAGAAAAGCACCTGTTGTGCACAGGAAACTCAGAAAACATTTGGAAGCAGATATTTCAAATATACAGGTGTCAATGAGATTATGATGGTGTTCTTCTTTAGAATTCCCCATTTCCCATCTGGACTGTAGCTGACGTGATACACAGAATTATATTTGCAGCTATAAATTGTCACCAACAGTTTTATTTTAACAGGAATGAAAAACATCTCAGTGGTTCTACTGATTTATGGGGCCACTTCTGAGCTTGCCGAGGCCACAAAGTTATTCTTCTTTGTATGGATGCACTAGTAAGGGATTGAGTGACTCCAGATGTATTACATGCTTCTAATCTTTGTGTATGAATATTTTATCATCCCAGTTTAAAAAAAAAATAATCAAGTACACTTAAACATAAATGCATAGTATGTTTTACTACTTAGGCAGTGGAGCAGAGGGGGAAAAACACTGTGGAAAAAAAATGAAGACTGGGTTGGTTGTAATAAATGGCTTCCCAACTTTTAACTACTGTTAAACTGCAAGGAAAAAGTATATTTGTGTGTGTATATATATATTTTTATATATAGTAATATGTAAATTATACATTATAAATACATACATATTTAAGCAAGTACACTTAAATATGTAAATATATGTGTGCTTTCTTAGACTTCAGAATTTCGTTGGCTTGAAGACCACATTTTAACAGAGTGAAGCCAAAGCAATGCCCCTGATCACCTTTACTTGCAAAATAAAAATACTCTCCAACAAATTCTACAGCTGCAAGAGATCGCCTGGCAGACTCAGTTTGACAGTATACCTTCTATACCACGAAATATTATTTTTTCTTGCAGTTTGTTAATAGTAGTTAAAATTTGTGAGGCTGTTTATTACACTCAACCCAGTCTTCAGTGTTTTTTTCCCCTCCACTGCCCAAGTAGTAAAACCAGAAGCAGAACTTCACAGGATTACAGAACTTCTTGCCCCTTCCTACTACCCCGAGATACGAAGCACGGTTATGCCTATCCTGCAAGCTGAACAGCAGGCTTAGGAGTGGGACGGATGTTTTCTGATGCCTGGGACCCACATGCTTTCCATCTGTGCTGCTGGGTGTTAGCTTGGCTTGCTAAGGCTCAGTTGTAGCCACCCCACACCCTGTGATGAAGATTATGCTTACGATGTGACCACAGAGGCTGTGCGACCGCATGGTGGTCTTCATCTCTACCCACTTCATACAGACCGCATTAAGACTTTCTGCTAATACACTTGGAACTGCCCCCGGGGAGCTCCACTTAGCAGCTTTTCAAGGGTTTGCAAAGGAAGGTGATGGGCAGATCTGATGCTGAGTGTGGTGACTTGTGAAAAATAAGACAGACCTTGAAAATGCGAAGGATATGGGTGCTGGCCGTGGAAGATCGATCTGTACCAGCTCAGTAGTTCTGAGCAGAACTGGCAAACCAGCTGGTGACAACTCTAGCTGAAACTAGTAATATAAATAACAGCACAAACATTTCTGATGACGTCTACAAGCATATCTCAGCCTGTGCAAAGACAGTTGAGACTAAGCCTAGCATATTTTCTCCCCTTCTGCTGGCAAGAGAGTTTATAAAATCATTGTAAGGAGATGAAATAACTCAGCTTCTTCCAGATGAACAATAATAATAAATTCTACCCTTGCTTATCCAGGACTTTCATCTGTAGATCTCAAAGCACTTTGAGAAGACGTTTTGGCAAAAGGAGCGAAACAAAACCCATTAAAGTTAATGGAAAAAGTCCATTGAATTAAACATGCCGAGGATCAAGACTGTGAATCCTTTCTGATGACTGTGCTTAGAAGCAGCAAAGGAATTGAGAAATGTTCCATTCTTCCCAGATGAAAGAAAAAGTAACTGCCTGCAGATGAAGAGAAAATTCCCTTTAGGCTGGAAAATGCTCCCTGAGGTTTTCCTTCATTCTATAGTCTTCAGACACTGGATGCTTCTCACCTCAAAAACAGTCATGAACTAGTCTAGCTATTTCTCCTAGTAGTTCATACTTAAGAGGAGAGCTGAGCCCTCCATTGGCAGCTGGGGGACTGTGCAGCATTATTCCATTGGGAAAATAAGTTTCTGAGACCCCAGCAAGTCCCAACATTCACGTTCTGGACCTGGAGGACTGGTAGTTCTTCAGAGATTTGAATCTTACTAAAGTATGTACTGCAACAACGTCCCCCGGCAATGAATTCCATGAGCTTGTTACGTGCCAAGTTAGAAAAGCATTTCCTTTCATCCTTTTAAAAATCTATACCCTTTTATCAGCATCATGAGCCCCTGTGTTGCACGGCAAGGCACTGTGAAGCTCAGTACTCTCTTAGTGACCATTCATAAGCAGAATGTATTCTTTTCTGTTTCCTTTCAAAACAAATATAATCTTTATCTTTTATGTAAACCCCTTGTTATACTAAAGCCTCTGCAGCTAGCTTGAAAAACGTAAGGCTGAAAGAACAAAAGATATTGCAGTCCATGAAGCTGAATATTTTACAAGAAAAAAATAAAAAGGAAAAAAAAATGAGGGAAATGAAAAACTCCTAGTGAAATGACATTTGAAAGACCATTCTGTTGAATGTTTCAGGAAATAAACATGCAAAGCATTGCCAGGTTCTGATGCTGGGTAAAACTCTGTCTTTGGTTTCAGGCTGCTTTGGCTCTGCTCTTAACTTTCTGGGAATCCACAAGAAAAGCATTCAGGGAGGTCAACCTAAAACACTCCCACTGCCACCAGTGTGGTTTGGGCACGGTTTGGCTGGCTTTAGAACCGACGTTCTGCCTGCTTCTGTATGGCCCAGCACAGCGCTCGGGTTCCTCCCCAAAGCAGGAGTAATAGGACCAGGTGGCTACTAAGGAGAACAATGGGCTACCTGTTTTCACTGGCCTCTGAAGGAGGTTCAAGGATGATACAAATGCCATCACTGGCCATGGATTGTAAGTGGCTCACTAGTGTTGCTGTTCCTCAAGTCCAACTCCTCCTTTCTACCTTGACACACACCAGAACACACTGGCATTCAAGCTTCCAAGAAAATTAGAAGTTAAAGAGCCCAACGCAGCTCAACCTTTATCCAGAACAGGAGAAAGGCCAAGGCAACACAGTAATATCCATCCTAAATTGGCAGATAACACTGCTCTGCCACTGTGCACTTTCACCAGCATTACAACAGAAGATCAGAAAGGTACTTGGACTGTAAAGGTTTCAGTGTGAGGCCATCTTCCCTGCTGATGAGCATGATGATGATCAGTGAGGAAATGGGTGCCTTACATGTAGAAAGACTGTCTGAAATGCTGCTCAAGCTGATGGTTGTGGGGACACGTCGTTCATTACAAAGTACCTGTTTTGTTGTTGCTCTGCTAAGCTGGCACCTGGAGGCTGCAAACAGGGTCAGGTCCCCTGTTTACAAGGCAATATATTCAAAACTCCCTGGCCACAAAGCAAGCAAGTGAATTTCCAGAGTAAACTCTGATCGCTTGACTTTCCCACCTCACTTCCACAAAGCTCTCCACGTCTAGCCAAGATCAGCATCTACAGCACTGAGCTCTTTTCCATCTACAGTTCAAAGGAAGGAGTGTGAAAATAAGATAAAATAACTCTGAAAAATCACGCCAAATACTTTTGCAACTCATATTCTTTACGGAAAGAAACGTGCACAACAGGAAAGATGTAGTGAACTGAAGACGACTCAAAGGACTTTGACCATGTCAAAGTGGAAGTTCTATCTACTTCCAAAGGTGGAAGATTTATCTCTTTTTTTTTTTTTTTTTTTTTTAAAACCTTTTTAAAAGGTAGGAATGGGCAGAAGCACAACAGTATTTCAGATCATCAGTCGCCTCTTCAAACGATTCTCTCACAAACAAGGCACTCCTGAAGCTGTCCTGGAAGTAGTGACCCCCACAATATCCTCTTGCTTAGTGGGAGAAGAAAGCAGGTAGAAACAAAGATACAGCAATATACAAGAGATTTAAAAAGGGACCACATCTCACACAGCTGCCCATTCTAAAGTCAGCAAATATATTTAAAAAGGAATGACTCAACTGTTGTTCAAGGAGTTTATGAGCCAGCTTTGGAGACTAAATTCAATCACTAAATTGGAGAAGATTAATTTCAATCTCTCCTGCTGCCTCCACTGAAAAGATGGATGCTGGCAAACCATGTACCTGTTTTCTGGCAGATTCTGGACTGTAGTCCAGAAGTATCCAGGATTGCTCCTATCCTGCACCTTCCCAGGACACCAGCCCCTGCTATGGCAGGGGATAACAACAGTTTTAATCTTCTCTGGGAAGTTACATCATCTATGATGAACCGGAGAGAACAGAGCCTCCAAAACGAGATCACAGGAGGAAAGAATTTCCAGAATGTGATTGCTACATATCACAGGAAAATGCAAATGGCTGACGGGCAATGTCTTAATCATCTCTTAAGGGAAGCATGAGGCAGGGCTGAAGGCTCTTAGTAGTGCTGGAAGGCTCTGTCACTGAACAGCAGACTTCCTCAGGCTATATCTCAGCATCTAACCACACAACTGATCATCCTTGGTGAGGACAATCCTTCCCTCAGATGAAGTGATATGGTGTATTCTGGCCCATAAATGCAAACAATAAAAGACGACATTTAATTCACCCAGTTTGCAAATGGATAACAGAAAGGTCTGCCATGCACTGGGCTGAGTTCCTGAGTGATTTCGTATTGTGGGAAGAGGAAGGTGAACAATCCTACCTACACTTACTCTTCCCCCCCCCCCCCCCCCATACTCTTCTAAATTTAAAATTCTCTGCACTATCACTCTCTCAGTAGTTGTGACAAAGTACATATCAAGAAACACTTTTCAAGAGGAACACTAAGATCCTTCTGTCGTTTTAATAGGCTAAACCATTAATTCAAAGGTTGATCTGTCTCCTCAGCAGGACAGTTTTAATTGCTTCAACCGCTTTGTTAGGGAAGATTTTTCGACCCAATTGCCCTGTCACTTGCAAAGGGAGTTATTCATAGAGCTGTTAAAGGTCACAAATTGCTTGTGGTTCTGTAACCTGTTTATCTCATGCAATGGCAGTCAGAATCTATTCAACTCTGAAGACAGCCTAATGATTTAATATCAAAAATCATTATGGGTTTTTAAATTAATCCACTTCATGCAACCCTGAAATGAATGACCTGTGCTGTGAGTGAACAAATTGGGAAGGTAAACTAAGTAGCATTAGATTAAACCTTGTTTAAATGAACTGGCTGTTCCATTTAGACTGGCAGTGACTGCAGGGCAATTGGGCCAAGAAATGTCCCCTCAAGAACAGGATAAAAAAAAAAAAAAAAAAAAGAAATAATTATTTAAAGAGTCCCAAAAGAAGAAATAGAGCTTGCAGACCAAGATAGTGTCTTACCATTGGTAGGCATCTGTGAGTCCTAATCTGTGGAACAAAAAGAAAACCCCTTGGTAAGTAAAGGAACTGAGGAGATTCGCACAAGCAGCACTTGCTGCCTGAAGAGAATGCTACAAGAAAAGGGAGGGTCTGATGACTAAACTCGGTCCAAAAAGGAAAGGCAGGAAATTAAGGGAAGACATGATCAGTGGTTGTCAGTTGTGGTAATTGGCAGACAATCTTGAACAGATTCCCAACATGCTTCTTAAAATGCAAAGTTTATTTTGTCAACATGCAGGGTTTATCCCAGATTCATGCAAAGACTCGTGCATATTCTTAACTTTAAGCGTATCAGTAACCTCTACTTGTGAATGTTTGGAGAGTACAGGCCTGAATATTAAATTTACCATGAGACGCAGCCAACCTCCTTTATGAGTCAAACTCTCTTCACGTGTGTGGCTACATGGTTCCCCTTTCACTGTGCACAAAACCACTGAACACCCGTGGCTTTATCAATGTGTGTCAACTTCTGAAAAACTACTAAATAAAATACTTCTTTTTCTAATTGTCACCAGTGTACCATCTCTTCTTTTCCTGCCCTGGCAGAACGCGAGCAAATTTATCTGTTTTTTTTTTTAAAAATTCCCCCCCCCCCATTTCTCTGATCACGAACAGAAAACTCTGTAGGCAATGAGAGACCACTTCTCTCATCTTCAGTGCACTGCAGCGAGCCCTCACTGAGACTTGGAAAACTATAGCATGAAGTGTGTATGAAGAGACAATAATCCTGTTCTTTATCTCTCTTAGATATGCTGGGTCTGCAGGAAGTAGAATTTAAAAGCCTGAACAAAGTATTTGGGCTCAGCAGATCAGATCCCAAGTACTCAAAATTGAGAAAAACACGTGAAAAGAGCTGTTATTTTCCCAGGTCATCTTCAATGCAGAGCTGTACTCGAAGGTCACCGAGGACACACCTTACTTGTAGCTTGAAATAATTCCTATGACTTTCCTGCCAAACAAGAAAGTCTGGCTTCAACCTCCACACGGACCCCTCCTCCAGCCCCACACCTTGAGGGCTGTGGACTCTATAGATTTTACTGGCAACAATTTCAGGTGAAAAAGTACAGCAAGCAACAACGTACTTTGGGTCAGCTGAAGAGAGTTCACAGGGAAAGCAGCAGGAAGCACAGGGAGTAACATCATCCTACACCACAAATTGAGAACCAGTGTTCTGATGATTTTAATTGCCCTACGCCTTTTGGATCCATTATATTGAAATGGATTTTGCTCTTCTCCACTGACTAGATATATCTCTGTGAGCATGTAGCCGATTTAAGCAACAAATTTATTCCCAATGTGCAAATGGTGTTGCTCTGGGATTAATGCTCCTCCAGAATTGCTTTCCACAAGTGTATGATTGGTCCAGAGGGAAGGGTTCAAGGCCAGGTTGGACAGGGCTTTGAGCAACCTGGTCTAGTGGAGGGTGACCCTGCCTGTGGCAGGGGGGCTGGATTAGATGAGTTTTAAAGGTCCCTTCCACCCAAAAGCATCCTGTGATTGTATGAAAGGTTCTTTTGAGCAATCAGACAGGATCCAGGGAGTAATTGTCTATGGAGAATTACCCCATCTATAACGTCAATTATTTTTAACTAAGCAGCAGCTTTGATATTCTGAGACTGAATTTAGCCTAAAATTACTCAAAGTCACATGATCCAGAACAAAGCAGCAGAAAAAGAGTCCATATGACACAGTTCAAATCCTGGGCACTTCCAGTGAAGCTTCCTACCAAAGTGTTAACAAAGAACCATATTCTCTGAAATGATGCCACTGAGGCTGTCTGCATCACATCTAGCAAAGCTTCTGACCAAAACTGCAGTTCCTCAATTACACAATGTAATAAATACCTTTAAGCTCTGTCTACGTGACAACTTCCACCTTTGCAATCCACTCTTGCACACAAAAGTTGCAAAGAAAAGGCTCAAGGATGCAGTGCCTCACATCAGACCCTGTTCCAGACAGTCCCAGCAGAGCTGAGGCATTCTGATGCCCTGGTCTCCTCGCATAAAATAAACCCTTCTTCTTTGATGAGCTAAAACAGAGAGACAGTTTGCACACCTACTTATCTGAATAGGTGATTGCAAACTAAAGAAATTCTTGTGCTTCTGTTGTAGGTATCTCTAAGACAAAAATAGGCTTCTGTTAAACACCATTAGTTGCCCTTCCACCCTTCTGTCTCGCCAACCACTGAGGGTTGCTGAAACACTATCTTGGTCAGGTTGGTCTCCTGGCACCTATGGGTCTTCCCTACCTCTGTAAGCGGGATTCCAGGAAGGGCAGTCGCTCCTCTCTCAAGCTGCCTCCACACAACTCCCCTACTCCCGGCACGAGGAGATCAACAGCTGCAACCTTAAGAGAAAGAAAGCTTATTAAAGTCATGCACATAGCATACGACATACGGCAGAAGATTGTATGGTGGTTTGTAAAAAGCTACTGTAATTCTTCCAGAGTCCAGAACACGTAGGTAAGTATTTGCACATGCTCGAGAAGTCTCTGGTTGACAGGAGAAGGCTGGGAGGGAACTTTACATTGATAACCATCAGTTAAGTCTACAGAAAAGCTGAAAAAGTGCAGTGATGTTCCAGTCTGAGGATATCTACAGCAGGTGGTGTGAACTGAATCCCACCAGGTTACTCTGGTGACAACCTGTGCCTGTAGGCAAGCCTGTGCAGGGTATAAAGAACCCAACAGCAGCTCACAAGGAAGCAAAGGCACACAGGGAAGTTTTCTGAAGACCTGATTCCCTCAGAGTTTAAACTGCTCTGGTGCTGTAACTTGTGTTTGTCCCCTGTCTGCCCCCACTCTTTGAGCCAGCTGTAGTGGTAACGATACCAGTGGATCAACAGCACTCGTGCTGGATACAAGTCTTAAGATCCCAGTGTCACCACTTACGCTGTTAGGTTTGGTCTGGCTGTCTCTTGGGTTTTGTTTTCTAGGGTTACTTTTCATATCCAACAGCTGAACTGTTGCTAGAATTAAAACCACTGAAGTGACAGTGGTACATGGTGGGGTAGTTGTTCTTTTTAGCAGAAGCAATGCTTTAGGTTCTCAGTTAAATTGTGAAATCACACCTTCAAAGCATGAGACTTGTGGAAAAAAGAGCTTACTACTTGTGCCCATCTGCTGTCTGGGGATTACATGGATGCTACATTTGGATAACAACAGAACCACGGACTGCTGGGAGCCATGCAATTCTAGGCATTTCATCTAGTAGTACAGAAGTTTACCAGGAAAACAAATAAACTGTGGCAAACTTAAGGGACTTAAGCAAAAACGCTATCCAACTCCTTAATCATCCTCCTCCTGTTTTTCCTGCTTTGGGGTTTTCTTCTCTATAACAGGAAAAAGGCCGGACAGGATCAGCTGATGGTCATGTCTTACCCCAGACTTCTTGAATGGAGGCCCAGCAGAAGACTACCCTCATCTGTTTATCAGAAGGCTAAAACACATGCCTAGCTAAAAAAGCAGTGCAAGTGTGACCCATGGACTCACTGTATGCTGAGGTCCATCTTCATTGTCCCGCATGTAGAAAGGTTTGAGGTCGTATGGGTAGTTAATCACAAACACGGGCACTTCACCACAGTGCTTCACCAGGTACTTTTCATGTTCTGTTTGGAGGTCACAGCCCCACTGTAAAGACAGCAAAAGGAACCTGGAATCCTGCTTAAGTGTATCTTGCCTGTGGCAAGTGACACAATAAAATCCCTGCGCAGGAGAGACATTGTGGTGGTTTGAACTTGGCTAAATGCCAGGTACACACCAAGTCACTCTATCACTTCCCCCCCTTTCCCCCTTTTTTTCCTCAACAGGGCAAAGAAGGGAAAGAAAGTAAGATAGGAAAAAAAAAACAAACCACCAACCCTTGTGGGTAAAACAGAAGCGGTTTTAATATAAGCAAAGCAAAGGTCCGTTCGCGGAAGCAAAAGAAAGAAAAGAGATTTATTTTCTACTTCCCATGAAGAGGCGATGTCGGGCCCTCTCAGGAAGCAGGGCTCCCATATGTGTAGTGGTTGCCTCAGAGGACCAAGGGTGACCCCCCCTTCCTCCTTTTTCCCAGCTTTATACTTGAGCAGACATCATATGGTCTGGAATATCCCTTTGGTCAGTTGGGGTCAGCTGTCCTGGCTGTGCCCCCTCCCAAGATCTTTCCCACCCTGTCCCACTGCAGGGAAAAATATGTCAGAAAGAGCCTTGGTGCTGTGTGAGCACCACTCAGCAGTAGCCACAACACCAGTGTGCTATCAACACCCTGCCAGCCCCCAACATAAAACACAGCACCGTGAGGGCTGCTGTAGGGGAAAACCAATTCCAGCTCAGCCAGACCCAGTACAGACTTTGAATAACATGGAACCAAGCACAGCAACTTCTCACGCAGACCACCAGGAAAATCTGCTAAGCACACAGAGTTTCACGAGTTTTAAGGCAGGGCAAAGCAGTGAAAATAACATGGTTTAACTTTCACAAAACATGACCAGATCATCCCTGCATCAAGTCCAAGCATCTGGTATCAAATCAGAGAAAAAACCCGGAACAAACCAAAACAAAATCCCCAAACCGCACTCTTCATAGCTTAAGGGAAATAGGAACCTATCCAAAATCAGTACTCAACCCAGTAAACCAGCCTTATTTCAGTATTACCTTCTGTATACAGCAATCAGCTTTGCTAGGCTGACCACTCTCTTCCCTGCTGAGTCCTGTTATATGCTACATTAATTCTTGCTTAAGAAAACCCAGCATCCTATTAACCAATTCTTTGTTATCAGAAACCTTGGACTTCTGCAATGCCCTTCACTTCTCCCTTCTCACAGCGCTGTTCTAAATTCTGTGGCTTTTGACTAGAGACCTCCAGTCCATTATATGATGGGCAAAGAATACTGGGGCAGTGGAAAGGGAAGGGGGAAACATATTCTGCTGACTCTCCTCATCTGAAAATCCTGAGTTTGCCATCTCAGATCAAGGCACAGGATGTGAGACTCTACACTCACTTGTACACAGAGACAAGACAATTACCCAACTGGCTACAAAGGTGGCTTCAGCCAGAGGGCTATTTTCCTCAAAGCATCAGAATGAAATAAAGATTAATCAGAATACACATGAGGTGAACACCACCACAAATGCCCTCCCTATTAGTGTGTGTATGTTTGAAATCGGGAAATAGATAATTTTTAGAAAACCATAATCTAACAGTGTTAGAAGGATTCTTTTTCCCCATCAACATCTATGCTTTGGAAAGACAAGGGATTCCTTCTACCTACATCTAGACTACAGGGTATTTTGACAGGGTTTTGGCTTATTAGTCCTTGTCAAACTTTTGGTGCTTTTCTAGTATCATTCCTTTTGTTTGAGGAGTATTGCAGCAACTCTCCTTAGATGACTGCTACTGAATCCACAACACACTCAGCACCACTCACAAAGGAAAGAGAAGTGCCTTTGCTAAATCCTTGGTTCTTCAACATCAAACTCATCACTTCCTTCCCTGCAAACACTACAGTTCTTCTGCTACAGATCTCACTCTTTATATTGTTCCATTTCAAGCCTGAAGGGCAAAAGTTATACCTGAGTTACAACTGAGCAAACACCCCAGGAAGCAGATAACCTGTGCAAAGTAACGACTCTTGTGGTATCAGAAAGGAGATCTACAAAGTTCAGGCTGGCTGTGCACATGAACAGGGCACAGTGACAAGACACCAGGCATCTACCTACCTCTGGCTTGAAAGTGAAAGTTTGAGAAGCTCGCTTCAAAATTTCCACTGCTTCACTGTAGGAAATTCTGCAAGAGGAAGAAAAAAAAAAAGTCTCTAAGATAGCTATGAAAGGAATAACAAGAAAGTTTTCTGGCTAAGCGCCACACTGGAAAATTAAGGAGGCATTTCCCCACCGCCATGCCAACTTGCGCTGTGATGTCAGACTTCCCAGCAATGCTTCTTTGGACAGAATCCAAAAACCATTTTATATGGCAAAGAACCCCGTTTGCTTGTGCTTCAGCTACATGCAGAGCAGGAAGTGCTAAGCTCTCAAGATACTTTTGCATTATTGCAATGTTGCATTTCACTCGGAAGTGAGCTCTGTGGAGAATTGCTTCATAGAAATTTGTGCATTTTTTTTCAAGAAAACAATGTGCTCTCATGGGCATAGCTCCAACAACATATCTCTACCGTTCAGGATGGTGTTAGGCAAAAACAAGAGGCCATAGTGCAAAGGGCTTGTAGCTCAAACATTTTCATTTTACTTTGCAAAACCCGTGAGATTTATTTGCGACAATGTTTCTCTGCTCCTCTAAGAGATGTGAGAGCAGGTTTTCCACCAACTTCCACCAGTAAAAAAGAACAGCATCATGGCAGAGGAAACAAAAAAATGCAGTGAAAGATGCTGCAGGTTTGATAACTGGAAATCAAGATACAGTGGAAGATACTTTTGCTGACAAGTTTTCCACGTACCAAGAAAATTCTGTGGACAGAGAGAAGAAAGAGTAACCTGATCACAATAATTTCATCTCTCTGTCACCAGCTAAATCCAATTACAAACCAAATTCCCTATAGAGTGCGAGCTCTTTACACACAGCTACAAGGTTTCACTAATACAGGAAGGCTTCTGGAGGAAATACCTCAAGAAAGAATACATTGCTCCATGTGTTTGGGTTATGTGAGGCCATGGTCCAAATGAGGTATATCACTGGCACAGGTTCAATGTGTGTAACTGATGTGTGTAAGCCAGGAATGCCACAGATCTGCCAGCAGCTGATGAAGAGAGAGAAGGACATGAGCTGACTCACTCTCTTTTTCCTTGGACCATAAAAAAAAGCCGAGTACAACTCTGTCCTCTCAGGAATATCAGTTAGGTCCAAGAAGAGAAGGGCTGAAACAGGGAGGCAGTGACTTCACTGAGGTCTCTCCCATGGGGCTCATGCAGGCACACGGCACAGGGAGGATCTATCATGATCCTGTTGCCCAAGCATGGCTGCACCTGGTTAACAGGCAAAGCAGTGTTTTTTGAAGTGATTATTTGAAGAGACAGGCAAGAGTAGGAAAGAGGAGATATTATTGGAGGCCAAGGAGGGAAACCAGAACCCTTCAAGTTCTTTAGCACACAGAAAACTGGGAAAAGGAGTTGCACAAGCAGTTGGATACAGAAAAACAACCGGGATTTTAAAGTATCAAATAATAGTTTTGTAACAAGAGAGTCATTGAAGTGTGAAGGAAGACAGAGCATCAAAGCCAAAACCAAGCAAGACCGTAAACAAACCAGTGTGCAGGTACATGCTGGAAGGAGGATGATTTTCTAGAAAGAGGATCTTGTCCAGGGAAGAAAAAGCCAGCAGATTCAGATGCCTGTCTCATGAAGAGATGACAAGGCAACTGGTGAACAGTACAAAGGGAACTGCAGTTCACGCTCTTTTGGAGACATTATGCTAATGCAGGAGACACTGAGTTGGGAAAGAACAAGAACATATACAAAATAGGAACTTCCCCCAAAAGCCCTCTTCCAGATTGAAATATAAGTACTTACGTCACAAATTTGTTCTTCAGCATCTGTTCCAACCTGTCCTTGGTCAAAACAAAACAAAAAGTAAAAATGTAAAGCCACTCTTATGGGTTCAGGATCTCAGAGGAAACTCAGAAAAGCTACTTCCCTCTAAGTTTTAATTTGTAGGTCTGCATTATGATCTACATACAGGTCAAAATGCACTCCCGGCCATTTAGTGCCGAAAGGGGACCCGATTATTGGAGCTGATGATTCAGAGGCTACTAGAAGATCTGACAGCTACAGTTCTACCCACACTTGCCACCAGCTATAGAAAGTTGCGTGTCCTCTCTCTGTTGCCCTGAACAATCACTTAAGCTCAGACTGACTTTTAGCTCTTCACAGTTTGTTAACACAGGACAACATAGCAAAAAAGAATAATAAAAAAATTAAGCCTCTCTACAGCCAAGAGCTCACAAAATGCATAACAGAATTGCAACTCTTTTCTGTCACATTTATTACCTTCTGGGCAGGAGCCATGTATTTATGAAAAAGCTCAACATCACGGGGACATTTGGAGAGCACAGTGCTTGTTGCTGTCTTGAAAAGATCTTCCATAACCTAACAGAGAAAACAGGAGCGCATGAAAATTTTAACACTGCTTAGATGTCTCAGACTATAAATAAAACAGTACACATCAGCCAAAGGGTACAGAAGGCGCTTCTGCCCTCCTGCATGGTCAGACTGCGTGAGAGGGTACCAGTTTGCTAATGCTCCTAATTAGGAGTCTTGCTCAGTAGCTGAAGAGCAGTTTTGCTCAGTAGCTGGAACCTCTTTCTACTATGGGTTTAGGGCTTCAGTGTCTGCTAGTGGCCTCAGTATCTGAAGTCAGGTATCTCCAGTGAACAAAGCACAGCTAAAATATTCAAGCAGCAGCCCTGGTCAGCCACAAACACATATATTACAACCATTTGTGATGACTGGTCTCAGATTAATTAGTGAGGTTGTCTGTCCTGTAATCAGCAATTCTGGTTTTATGCTTTGTTGTTAGAAGAGGAAGAACCAAAAGAGAGGAAGATAAATGTGTACTGTGCAGAGCCAGCCCATCAAACAGATCCCAGCTAGAGAGACTCCGCAGCAAGAGCAAAGCAAAGAGAACATGTAGAGAGATGAGTAGAGAGCTAAAGTAAAGAACACATCAATGCAAGGATGCTTGAGAAACTAAAAAAAGATGTGGTTTAATTTCCATAAACTAATGTGGATTAACTAAATGACATTATCATCCAATTTGGATATACTTATCCAGTAAAATGGGCTTCACCCATGAAGAAATTAAAATGCCATTTTGGTTCTAAATGAAAAAAGCCCCCACGTGGGATGCCACTGCATTTTGATCAACCCATTTTTAAGAGTAATTTTCTCTTTCGGTTAAGCAAAGCAGACTATCCAAGACACTTGCTGTTGTGCAGATTAAGAGTTCCCATGACTCCTTGTAGTTTTACACCTGCACAAAGCAGGTAGCTGATACCTGTGTAGTACTGATGATCCCAACCCTTCTTCAAAATCACCTTCCTTATTCTCATCTCCTTTGTAAGGAACAGAGCAATGCAGTTGGGTTGCACGTCATCTCAGCCTGGGATGGGACCAGGTTTTTCCCAACAAAAAGGACCTCTGAAAGTCCTGGCACATTCCTGTTTTATTTTTCTGTGAGCATAACAATTGCTTCATTATCTGCAGAGTTGAGAGAAGCAAAGTATCCACCAATGATATCTAGGTGAGTAGCAGTCCCTAGACACTGCAAAGCCCAGGGGAGACTAAGTGTGAAAAGGTGAACATGATGTTCAGTCAGCAGATCAGAGGAAAAGGCAGGTCTCTGCCTTGCAAGAAACCCTGTCTAGCAGGGTAAGAGGAACTAAAAGCACAGAAAAGCAGCAGTTGGGCTACTGACATAGCCAAGATTTCAGGCACATTGTTCAGACTCTCATGTTTAGAAGAACTCATCTTCATCACTTGTCCCAAACTGCTGAAACACTGCTCTGTGCTGATGAACCGCCTCTGCATCCCACCAGCCTAGAGAAGCTGGTAAATCAATCTATTTTGACTCCTCTGGAGCCAGCCTCCAGACTCCTGCATCAATCTGGGCCCTCTTTTTAAAAAAAGGGACGATCCAAATAAAGGAACAGCATTATCATATGCAGATGAACAGTTTTACCCCTACTGCTACTCAAACACGGAGGAAATGAAAAGCTAGCATTCCTGCTGCTGAGTGGCAAATAAGCAAACAGTCAGCTTTGAACTTTCTTCAAAGTAGCTAGAAAAAGGCTTATGCAAATGAAATTAGAAAACTTCTTGGCAATTCATCTGGTTTCACCAAGTAGAGACGAAGGGATTTTACATTAAGCTTCCTCTTTCTAGAAAATGAAAGTATCATCTGGTTTCAGAAAAGCATGTTGTTTAATTAGCACTTTTTTTCCTCACTGTGCGATAAAGTAACAATTAGGTTCCCACAGCACTCAACATAAGCAGCTTCCTCTTGTGGAAAAAAGATGTGGGTGGTATGGGAAAAACAATCTGAGAAATATTTCCAGGTTTGAGACTGAGGTTTTATCCTGGCAAAAAAGACAGACACGTGGGTAATGCATTGGCCTCCTCACTGCTCTTATTCTTATTTATGCCAAATGTGTACTAGGCATGAAGAGTGGAGGGAAAACAGGGGGAAAAAAAAAAAAAGCTCTGAGAAGTTAGGCTTTAAGCCGATAATATAATAAAGGATTGGAAAGTAGGCTATATGAAAAATAAGTGGAGAATCATAACCACTGGCTTGCTGGTTTGAGAGAACACGTGAGATGGAGATATAAGTAAAGTGATTGGTTTGAACATACCCTGAAAGAAACGTGTTTGATAGGAGACTTACACACGGAAAAAGCCATTGGAATCACAGCAAGCAGCTCATCCTGGAGGTAGGACTCCTGATGTCCAAAAGCCCATTAATTTGGTTGCTTCATAATGGAAATGTAGAAATTGTGCTAGTAGGAGGGCAGGCGAGGAGGACAGTGGTAAAACTTTTCCCTTCTCCCTCATCCCTCTCAGTCTTTCTTGTTTTTCACCTTTCAGAGAAGTTCAACAGTATCAATCTTTGCCTTCCCCAATGTTGCTGGTTGAATTTAATGGTTAACTGTCCAATTTTAAGGAGGAACAGCTCCCAACTGTATTGTTTAATTTTATCTTGGATCTTTTGATACTGCAGCTTATTCTCTTCCAAATAAAATTATGATCAGAGTTGAAACAGAGAAAATCATCAACAAAACAGCAGTAAATGTCAGCAGCAGAAGTTGAAGGTGCTGTGCACTACAAAAAGGGTTCAAATCATCATCTTTCTTACATAAGACACTTTCAGAAAAATCACAAGAACTGCCAGTAGGTTTTTTGTTTATGCATTTACCTGGGGTATGCATATGGATGCAGTGTAGATCACAGGGTATTTACACACGAAACTTTCACCAAGTGGACCATTGCTTCTTGCCTTCATGCTGGCTCACACACACAGCACATGAGTGCGCGCGCGCACACACACACACACACACACACAGGGGAGATTCACATCTGATCTTGGTCATAAAGTCTCCTCTCTCAGCTATATAACCGAGAGCTCAGGACCCACTCTGGAGAGACACTGTTGTGAGACTCTGTCAGACCACTGCCTCACTGGCCCTCGAAGCTGAACAATAAATGCTGATGGAAGTTAGGAAACAGAAAGTCTCAGCTATAGCAGCTGGATGCCCCTTCAGAGAAGGAACCTATAGCCCTGCAGATACCCCGATGTCCCTAAAGCATGCTGCACAAGATACAGGGAACAAACCTTTCCCACATGATTAGCAGTGTTTGTTCCCTTGAGCCTACAGTTAGATTTGTCTTAGCCTTGACACTGAAGACAAAAAGTATTGTTGAGTGCAAACTATTCTGGAAATCAAACACCATCCATGCTTCAGATCTAAGGTCTCTGAAACTAACACCCCAAATCAGTGCTACTGTTGATTTCATTTCATGCCTGAATTCTCTTCTGTAAAATGGAGGCAGTAACACTCCATGTCACTGGGCTGCAATAACAGAAAATTAATTCTGATGAAGTACATAACCAGTGGAAGACAATACGTCTGCCCTCAGGACAGAGCTCAAATACTATGTGTTAAACTGTATTCTCCATCTTAAAGAGGTGTATTCTTCATCTCTTAAAAAGACAGCGGTGCTAGCATGTCATCTTGTTAAAGGAAGACTAACACTACGCGTAAACTCCCCAAAATGCCCTCAGGAAAACTTCCTTCTGGCACTTCCCAACTTTACAGCCTAAATAATGTTTTTTTTAGCATGGTTTTGTATGTGTATTTGATGAAATTCAATAATGACTGTATTATATGGCCTCTTTGAGATCCCGTTAGAGCCATGAGTGAAGTTGGATCCTTTAAATCCATTGCACTGCCATGATAGTGGAAGGTAAGAGAGAAGATAATGACCTACAAATATGGCTACATGATACAGCACTGAAGAGAGGAGAGGGCGGCAGCAGGCATCTTGGAGGACTGATGAGACTGGAAACCTTCGACCTCCAACTCAGGGACTGGACAGGCAATGGCCCTAGTGAGTCGAGACACTTTCAACAAACTGAACTCCTTCCACTGTCTTACCTGACCTTCTTCTAACTCCATCTCTTTGTCATCCAATTTGGAGGAAGAGTGCCTTTTGGGGCAACTTGACTCAACTTCTTGTTTAGACTGTTATGGAAAGAGGCCACAGAATCTCTCCTCAGATACACTTACATATACCCTGTACACTAGAGTGGTAATACTATCTATCACCCAGCCATGCAGCGTGGAGTACTGCACTGAGCACGTGGGACTTTCCACAGAAAGTATTGTGAAACCAGTATGGTGAGAGTTTAAGCTTCTTTGTAGCGCTAAAACACGTTTTGGCACAGAACAGAAATTTAGATTGCATGATCAAGACACATGAGACTTCACAAGAACTAATGTGCTACTAATTTAGGAATAACTGAGAACTACCCTGTGCAATTACAGTGGGGAAAAAAGGCTGCTGCTCTAAGATTTCAGGCCTTTGTTCCAAATGCATGTAACTTTGTTATTAAATCTTCTTTTTCCTTTTATTTTGTAAGGAAAGCTGTTTCTTTTGGAGCTCTGGCTGAGAGAAAGATCTCAAGCCTCATCAGCGAATGGTAAACATGCACATCTTTGTAGCAAAGGCTCTTCTTTAATGGTGCATAAGCAAATACTTCAAGATGTCTCTGACGAAGCTGAGCACTCCCAGCACACTAACTTGCTGAAGTTAAGAGGTATTCAGACCAAATGTTGAATACCAATTTTAAAAATAAATTTTAAACAATCCAGCTCTTTATGTGAGGACAAAGTTCAGATGCTAACCCTGGCCAAGAGCCCCCAAGGCATTCAACTGGGCGTTTTGCACCAAACAAAGAACTTGCAGATGACGACAGACAAACTGCCCAACGGCCAGATACATGAGAGAACACTGAATTTAGGTCAGTTATGTAGGGAAAAAGAAACTGAACTTCAGCTTTAGAGCAGCTGTCAGGTTTGTTTTTTGTTTTTTTTTTTTTAAAGAGAGATTGCCCAATGATTCAAAAATAAACAAAACGGGAACTCCACTTCTGCAAATGAGAACATCACAAAAGCAAGCATGTTGCAATGGAGACTCGCTATGAAGAATGCAAAACGATGGCTGCCAGGACACTTTCTGTTATAGGGAAAGACGCTTGTCAAAGACTTTGGGACAGAGGGAAGAAGTGAAAGAGGAGAGCACACAAGCTGAGACTTCACAAGATGTTTAGCAACAACAAAAGCCAAGCCAAGGTGGGGGGAAGTTCCTCCTTTCCAACCAAGTAAGAGCCCTACATGTTCCAGAACAGTTCTCAAATCTAATTCTCTGAATTGTCTGAACTGGTTGTCTATACTTCAAAAGCCAAGAAACTAGGGTTTTCAGTACAAGACTGCAGATACGTTCATGATGCGTTCAAGGGCTCAAACACCACTTAAGAGAAGATCCTGCTTACTACACTAGATAAAAGCAGTGAAAATTTCAATCAGCTCCTGATTACCCAGAGAAACAGGGGGCTCAGGAAGTAAGATGTAAACATATACATATGCTGTGCTCTAAGAATACAAAAAGTTGTCCTGGAGAAAAGGAGAGAGAAATGAAAGAGTGAGATGCTGTTAAGGATGGAGCACAGAGATTCCCAACGGGTCAGTCCCCCCAGCCTAGTGCCATCCAGACATCCAAGATGCAGAAGCAGCACACGCAAGAGACAGAGTATGTCCGCTCTGCTGTTAGGATGTACTGACTCAGCAGACTGTATATGATCCAGGCTGAAGAAACCACCACCTGGATGTTATTTTATAAATCTGTAGCTAGTGCCTCAGGGCTTTTTCTTTTTAAGGCTATTTCTTCAATAGCTTTCCAAGGAGCTTATCTGATGTATGACAGCGTGTGGATGTTTACTCACAAGTCCTGCTGGGCATAAGCTGGCTTATGCTGAGACTAGTAAAATGCATAAGTATCCATCATGTGGTTAAACTGCAACCAAGAGGTCAATCCTGAAAAATAAAAAGCTAGCTGACTAAGGATTTCTTTCAGTTTTCTGCTAAAGAAGTGAATAGCGTATGCTATGAATTGTTGTTGCTACTTGATATTTCAGTGCAGGATTCGAGGAGCTCTTTACAGAGCACACCAAGGAACACACTGAATAAATACTGCTCACTCACTAGAGATGCTGAAGGTTTTGAAACAGAGAGTGCCACTTTCATTAGCACCAGTCAAGTACATTTCCACATTTCCTGGCAATACAGCAACTGTGCAGCCTCCCATTCGGATGAGGGCTGTGTTTGCACTTCCCTTCCAATGCCCTCTGTGGCTTCACCTCTGCTGAGAAAACCCTGATCCTTGGGAAGTCCCTGTGCAACCTCTACCCGGCTCTCACAGGGCAAGAGGAACTGCAACCTCAGTTGAGGGCAGAGAGCACAGCTCAGGGAGGAGGAAGGAGCTCTGGCACCAGACCTGCGTAGGCATTTGGAGTGCCCACCTGCATGATGTCTTGAAGGCTTTCAGTAAAGGACAGCTCAGCCTCCACCATGTAGAACTCCGCCAGGTGCCGGCGACTCTGCGAGTTCTCCGCTCGAAATGTTGGGCCGAAGGTGAACACATGGGTAAAAGCCCTGCAAGGTGACAAGAAACAAACAGATCAGGCCTGGCACACAGGTGAGTCTCTTAAAGTGCCCACTATTCTCCCAGGATCTAGAAGCACTTCATTTCATCTCTGACCAGTTTAATAGCGCTGCTGTTACATCCCTTCATCCAGGCCTGGAGGGAGGTTATTTACACCTCTCCACGACTCAGGGAGATTCCACAAACCCTATTCAGCTTTCACTCAACACCATTCATGCTAAGACATTTTTTGGAGCTGTGTGGGAATAAAAAGTGACATTCTGCAGAAACAGATCACTGGAGAAGCACCTGGACATTGCACCAGTCAGGCTTCCCTCGTCCTTCACGTTTGTTTGGCTGTAAGGTCTGACCTTTATGGGTGCTGTGACACACCAGAGCTCAACAGAGCAGAGAGGGTCCTGTTGCTAAAGTTGCTGGGCTGGTGTAAGCACCGAGAGGTGGCTGGTGAAGCCCGGCAGGATGGATGTACGGTGTACGGCTTGCAGTCCCCCTCTAGTGGCAAGACCAAAGTTTATTGCCGAAAGAGCCTTTGACATAAAGAACTGGGATCTTTCCACACAGTTAAAAATGGTTCAGCTAAAAGGGGTCCCTACTGCAGAGAACACATCTGGGATATCGTTTTATGCAACCAATACACTTCCTATTATGAAGCTATTCCTCCAGCAACCTCCTGGGGAGTCTATTTAAACACATCCTCTATCGTTCTGCAGTCACGTCCTGCTGCGTTACACAGGACACAAAAGCCTTCTTGATTCTCCACTTCCTTCACAAGAAACCTTCCTATCAAACAGCAACACACCTGTAAAGTTTTATTTTTACCGCGGGGAAGCTGCAGTCCAAGCAATACTTTTTACGCTGTGGGCTATGAGCACTTGGGCTCCTGGACATCCTCAAGCCAGTGAGAGCTTCCCGACCAGATGCCCTGACAGCTGTGTTTCCTCTAGTGCTGCATGGGAAGCAAACCATGAAGGGGAGAGAGCGAGCTGCTTCAGAAAAAAACATGGCCTGGGCAGCTGCTATCTTTGGTACATCTTTAACTTGGCATTATTTTTAGCTGTAGCCAGTGTGTAGGAGAGAAAGAACCTGATCAGTGGAAATTAAGCACAGTTTGACACTCATGCAGGGATGTGCGCTAATTGCTGCGGTTGGCATTTGACTTGAGTTTTGCTCAGCAAGCTTTCAACTTAAAAGAGGATGTTCACTGAAGTTTCTGTACAGGCTAATTTTGTTAAACTGAAGTTTAAACAAACAACACTACAAAACCCAGCATTTTTCCTTTGCCCCTTATGGAGGCATCTGCACTGCAAATGAAGGAACACACACGTTCTGCTTTACTCATCTGTTCCCTCATGTCACATGATTGTTAAAGGTTACGATCCAAAGAAACAACACTTTCTTTTTCCTTGAGTTTCTATTAGTAAACACACTAGAAGAACATTTCAGGTCAAGACAGAGAACGTAGCCTGCCTGTAGGTTTCTTTTCCCCACTGGCTCTGCTTTCCCTGCTCCAACAAACACACTTTCTGTCCCTACTTCACTCCCATACATTACCACAGCATCTACGATGCTAACCAGATTTTGCAGCAAACATCTTTCCTCAAGGATCATTTTCAGCATGCCTCTTTTCTCCCTGCTGCCTTTCTCGCTTGCTGCAATGTTACTATAAACTTCTGCCGTCACTTGATCATCCTTCTTCAAACTGCCCTTTGCTAAAACGTCTATAAAACCTCAACAGTATTTAGATAAGTGATGTACTAAGACTATTACTCACTGCACAGGTCAGTATTATCTCATCAGTTCCTGTGCTCCCCCATCTGTAGCCATCTGTTGTCTTGGGTTATACAGAAATGCACGTTCTTTCTCATAAGGCCTTTTTGGTTTGCTTTTTTTTTTTTCCACAGCACCTGGCACAACAAGGTCTTGGATCCAAAGCTTAAGAGCCTCAACTGCTATAGCAATACAAACAACAAATATAAACCAGTGACTCAGCCAAAATTTTTCAATGTTTAAAGCACAAATGGTCAAAAACTTTTGCTTGCCAGGCCATGGACTTTGGCCTGCAATGAGAAACAGAAGACCCAGGTTCTTGTGCTACCTGTGCCCACGTTTCAGACTTTTGCTAAACTATTTCAATTTGGAGCTCTTCAGTTAAAGAATTTTCCCTAAACGAGTTTAGTCACAAGTTGAGATTGTGACTGGGCCAGGACTGGACACAAGACAAAAATATTTTGAAAAGCTTGGAATTGCTGAAGTACCCACTCAGGTTTGCTCAGTTTGATGTGCATGTCTCTAATTTCTTGCTGACATTAAGTCCTCAAAGTAGCACTTCAAACTAAAGCGTGATACCAGCTGGCTAGCAGGAGATCCTGTCCCATAGGGCAACACTCTGTCTTCAGTAAGAGCCACGTTCCTCAGCAGCTGTCCAGGCACAGGCACCAACACTTCAGTTACTGCAGGTAGCGGTGGTGGATGACAGTCTCCAGCAATGCTGGCTACTATGAGCACTCTGAACTGTATTTATTTCCTACTGAATAAGTGCGACAACTACTTACTTATCTTTGAAGGGGCTTACTGGCGGCAAGACACCTAGAAATAAAAAAAACCAAACAACCCACCCTTATTGCTCTGAGATGTTAATCATGGCTGAACGCTTCACAGACACAGATCAATTTTGTGCTGCCATCTCTGTGCCCAGGACAGAGCTTTTGGGGAGAAGTGCAGAACAACTCCCACAGGAACACATTTCAGTCTTTTCTCAGCTCTAGGCATCCTGCTGGGATGAATCTTACTTAACTTGTACACTGAGCACCATCTACGTTTACAAAATGAACCACTAGCACTACAACTTCATGGACTATCCCAAGGTGTTCAACAACAGGAGGGTTTTGTGACAGCCTGTAGACAACCTAACATCCCTGGTGTAGGGCTGAATTTGCCTGCCTGCCTCTTGGAAGAAGGAAAAAAAAAAACCCTAAAACCTAAACCCACATCTGCAGGGAGGGGAGGAATCATTCATTTCCCAGGCTAACTGTAAAGGGAAAGGATAGATACAAATAACTGTGAGAACTTCACCACAATCCTGGGACCCTGGCAAAGGGAAACTTGCCAGATGTCATGCTGGCAAAGTGATCAAAGGAGCACAGTAAATGCAAGTCATCTGGCAATGGCAATGCAGCACTGACCAGAGGCCTGGACTTAACAGAGAAACACAGTTAAAAATACATATAGTCACTGCTGTCAACTCCAAGCGTGAACAATTATTATCCAGACATTCACATACTGTTTACTGTGCTCTGCCATTAAAGACATTAAACAAATGCACACTACACAAATCCGACCTGTATTTGTACTTCATCTGCTATTAAAAAACACACGTGTGATTTGGTACACTGCTGTACCACACTGAGAATGTATAAATATATTAGAAAAGAGGGATGGGAGCTGACTCCGCTCTGATTTCATGGTACCAAGGGTAAAACTGGTCATTTTGTTCTGTGTGCATTCAGCACCTAGCACAATGGAGCCTCAGTCCAGGGCTGTGACTCCAATGCTCTACAACGCAAATAATCAATCATTTAACATTCCCAGACCTCTGCAAGACTTCCAGCATTTAAAAATAACTTGAAAATTCTGGTTACGTGACCAAAAGTGCCTAGGTCACTTGGTGTTGTGGGCACTCAAGGGTCTTTCAAAAAAAATCAGTAGTGCTAATTCCTCATCTCCAACAAAAGCACAAAGGAGATTAAAAAACCCAAACAACAAACCCAATAATCTGTCGAGCCCCTTTCCTTAGCCATTACAGGCAGAGCAGTAATGTCTGTAACACTGTCCTTGTACGTGCTACCAAAGAACACAAGAGAGGCTTTGAAACGAGTCCCTTTACAGTCAGCTTCACCCAGATCAGAGCTCTGGACAGCAAGTCCAAGTGCATTTGTGCAGTTCACAGGCACTGCCGGGGTCGACACCAGAAGGCACAGAGCTGCTTAATTAATTGCTCCCTTTCTGGGACTGTATTTCGCTCTGCCCAGTTCTCTGGGAAAATCCGAGAGCTTAATGTGGAGGCCAAGAAAATACCCACAGCACTCCCTCTGACACACTGAAACGCTGCAAAAGCCAGGGCCCTATCCCGCAACACGCTGAGCTTGCTTGTCCCAGCCCAGAGAAAGGCTTAGCCACCTTCTAGGTCCAGGCTCACAAGAGTCCCTTTGGATGCAGACAGGAGAGCTTGGATGTGTTCCTGGAGCAGAGCCATCCTCCACATGGGCCATCGCTTGGTGGAGGCTCATTCCTGCACAGGCTGCATTTGTGATCTCCACCCTATTAACATCCAAGAAGGGAGAAACTTTGGACTTTTCACCCTTATTTTACATGCTACTAAAATCCTCTTCAGAAGCAGCTACCTCTCCCCCTTTGAGAGCTTTGAGAGCCACACAGAATGAAAGCTCATTTCATTTGAACTCGACAATTCATTACTGAGGCAGTGATAGAAACCAACAGAGAAGTATAAAGTATCTGTGCCCAAAGCTGCTTAAAATCATCCTTTTAATTGAACTCCCACAATGTTTGTAGGCCTGAGCATCTCTGCTTTACTGTCAATTTTTACACTGCAATCCAAATAAAGTTAATTGTGCTGACAGTTCCCAAGCCAGGAATGGATTGTGCTCCTTTTCTGAGCCAGGACTTCAATGCTGCTACCGGGGTAATAAAGACTTATTTGTGCTGTCGAACCAAGGGCCTATAACTCTGAGCAAGGCTATAAATCAAGAAGATGCAATCCTTGCACAGTCAGCTTACAGCCTATGCCAAGGTCACACCACACAGTAGTGACACAGCTGGAGGCAGAAGCTGGTTGTTGTGACTCAGGGCTAAGCACTAAACCACAACAGTACACACAGCTATTCATTGTACAGTGCTCTTGTTCCCACCCCAAAATATTACAGGTGTCTGCACAAACACACACACAGAGTGACTACTCGGACAAGGTCTGCAG